TCTTTCCCAGGCTAGGGAGCTCCAGTAACAGCAAGATGTCATGCTACGGGTTTTAATTTTACTCTAAGCCCCAAACTACCACGACAGACATTTTGTTCAATATTGTGCCTTGTATGACTTTTTTTCCTAATTAAAAAAACATCAGCCCAACTCACAATAGCATGGAGGGCAACAACACATTTCCAGGGACTGGTGTGCTGTAGAGCTAGCAAAAATACCCATTTTACTGCTGGGTTAACCGAAAAAGAGAGATATTAATGATCTGCCCCATATCCTATCGTGTACTGAGTGCTAGAGCCAAGAAGAGGAAGTTAAGTTTTGACTCTCAGTCGCTTTCTCGAACAACTGCGCGACGGCCTCTTTCAAACACTCTGTGGGAAAAATGGGGCCTTTTCTTTTTGATTGTACTTGGCCCACGTACATAAATCACTCACGGAAGTACCCCGAAACCCACCGAGTTGCCTTTTCAATCAACAAAACGGAATCGTCCTTTTTATGCTCCAGTAAAATAAAATAGCAGGAAAATGATGCACGCACTGAGGGATGCCGACTATTTCTTTTAACTCACTCTAATCGTGGCAATTCGTTAACGGATCTTCAGCGAGAGCAGGAGTAAATTCAGCGGTGTGGGTGCTCTTAGCAACACAACAAGCACTTCCACAATTCCCTTTGCTTTTACAAAACACATGCAGAAGAAGTAAGAAGTTTTCCCTGGCTGGCTGAGACCGGCGGCGCATCTATCCCAGTATCCCCAGTCACCGACCAGCACCAGGTGGTCTGGGGGAGAGGCAATGTAACAGATAATTTCAAAATAGCATTCCCTGGAGAAAAGTCTACCGTCAGCACCTGGTGATCTCATTTCAGCAGCTGATGTTAAATTTACCCCCTGTTTCATCAAGGTTTATGACTGCCCTTCCAAGCCATTTTATTAGAACATAAGCATAGATGTTTTCCTTACCCTTTTAAATACCTAAACCTTCGCTGAATGCAACCTGGTACTTTCACTCAGAGCTCTCCCACGAAAACAGTTCCCAAAGGTTAATCATGCAGAAAAGGCTGGTTTTCTCTATTAGTTGAAAACCTGTGGCTTTTTCATTTGATCTTATTTTTCTTGCCGCATATACAAAGCAAACACAACTACAATTGTCCAATTAAGTGCCTCTTCCTGTTCCTATTGAAGTCAACGGCAACACTTTCTAAAATCAGGTTTGTTTTCTTACTCATTAACTGTAAAATCCACAAACCTGCAAGGAACTCTCCAGCGAAGGGGATTTAGCAAAGTCTGTCGAGATACCAACAATTACGACAGCAAACTAACACTATGATAAAATAACAGAAAATAAATTCCAGACTTTTAGATGCATTTGGAAAAGTTATCTGGTTTCATAGTCTTTCAGGAGCCAAAAAAAAAAAAAAAAAAGCCAAAAAAAGCCATGGGATTGTTAATGAGACCGAAAGCCAGAGTAAAATAAAAATCCCTCAAATCTGTCATCAGGATTCATGTTTGCCAAGAAGGCCTGGATGTTATCCTGCTGGGGAAGGGAAGATTTATGGCACCGCACACCTCCATCCATCCTATTATTATATATGAAATGGAAAATCAAACAGGCCAGCCCTGCCCTCAGAAATAATCAGTATTTTGCTGCCACCGAGTAACAAGTGTTGTTATTATTATTACTAAATCAGCAGGTACGGGAGGAGCCACAAGGTGCTCATAACTACATCATTTTTAAAAAACCAACAAACCAAACAGGGCTGGGCTCCACCCACCCGAGGGCATGAAGGAAAATACAACAGGCCAGGGAGGGAGGTGGGAAAGGCTGGGCAGCAGCACCCAGGATGCACCCGATGCCCAGCATCGGCGATGGAAAAGGACGGTCAGGAAGGCCTGGAGAAAGCCAAGGACCACCAGCCCTCCACGAGGTGGAAAGACAAAACAGGCGAAGAACCAGACGCCCACCGAGTCCAGGCATGAAGGACACTTGTACCGGGCACAAGGGCTTCATGTTTGCTGTCGATGCAGCACGATGCTCCCGCGGTCCCTTCGGAAGCCCAGGCCCTGGTATCTGGCCTCTGGGAAAACGCTTCTGCTCCACGTGCAATTTCACGCATCATCGTGTAGGTCTTGTGATTCTCCTGCTAGAGCCGTGCTTTGCCATCGGAGAAACGCTTGTGCCTTGGCAGAAAAATTCAACCGGATTTTATTCATGGATTACCGACTCTGAATTTCAAGCTACATCCTCGAAAAATTAAGCTACTTACTGCCCAGCAGAGCTAAGGCAGCAGCTCGAGAGAGGTTAATGCAGGCACAGAACGAACTTCTTTCTCAATATTGAAAGTAAAGTAAAACTTTTTTAATAGGATTGCTGTTTGAACTTTATGGTTCTTTGCAAGATCAAGGCAAATGACATCATCTCCATAAGCGAGACCCCTGGTTCTGAAATTTTAAAGGTCATGGTCAATACATACATTTTAAATAAAATAATTAAAAAAAAAAAAAGAAAAGACGAGACTTCTGAGAAAACACGCAACCCAACGTTGTTGCAAGTTACGGAGAAAGCTATTATAAATGAAAGGGACTGGAGAACCACAGTTGTTTTCTCTTTCTGCTCTAGCTCTTCTACCCCTTGCTCCGGCACAGATCCTCCCCAGAATTAATTTCTCACTCTTCAGCAACAGCAAAAAGAAAAATATTTTGATAATATTTTGAGAATTCGATTATAAACCCACAAAGCCACAAAAACTGGCAAAGGACCTCGAAGGTGTAACACTTGAAACTGCCAATTCATTGATTTGACTGAGTGGATTTCAGACAGTTTCCTTTCACCAGTCAAACAGCGACCTGGGGTTAGCCCCACTGGGGATTGAGTCGTTACAAGGCCGCATGGTGTTGGCCAAAAAAACCCAAAAACTCAAAGCACCTCTGCCCCAACGCGGGGCATCCGGCTCCGAGCAAGACACCATCCCGCGCCGGATGAGCAAGAGGCTTTTCCTCAGGACTTCCAAGAGAAACAACGTGCTGCACAGGCAGGTGCCTGGCCAAGCTGCTGGGAGAGCAGCTCCAGAGCCCGAAAGGGATGCGATTTCAGTCGGTACTCCATGCAGGAGCACGGGAAGACCCCTGGATCACAGCGATATCCCTGACCTCCAGCACTGTCCTGCGGGCAGACACACCTGCCATCCAGCACCTTCACGAGAGGGCTATGGATTGCTGCGGGCACGACGACTCTCCGCACTTCCTTTCCGAGGTGTGCCACCAAGCAAAGAGAATTA